GAAAGAAAGAGAGAGGGAGGATAGGGGGAATTGGAGCTGTTATTGTCCTAAAGCCCTCCCCCTTTTTCTATTAAAAAAAACCCAACAGCAACAACAATTACAACATCAAGGAGAGTATCAGTAACAGTAACAACAATGATAACACCGATGTCCTTGAAAATGGCCAAGTTTTCTTCTTTTGACACATTCTATTTAGTACGTACCGTGTTGCCATCGTGCATTGTGGGCTTGAGCCTGACTTTATCACAGAGGAGGACAACAAAGTGACACTTCTCACTTTTAGCAGTGATTCTGCAGAAACTTATGGTGAGATTGTGTAGACAGAATAAACAATATAAAGAGTTTCCCTCTAAACTCGTCGTAACATAAACTACATGTATTAGATTTAAGCTCTGAGGAATCCACGTAATCTGAGTAAAATAAAATGAGATCCCGAATTCATCAGAGTACTCAACAAGTCTAATATTATGTGGGATCAAAGTTGTAATTAAGATCTGTTACATTTTTGTTGAAAAACGAAACATCGACGTAAACAAACAAAAGTAAACAAACAAAAGTAAATAACAGTGAACATCGACGGTAGCACCTGTTTTATTACAACATTTGATGTAGCCTACTTCTTTTAAGTAGTAGACCAAATGTTTTTGCATGCACGATACTTTTTAATGAAACTGTGGGAATACATCGCAATTGGGGATGTGGCAGTATAAAAGGAATGTAAAAGTTTTTAAAATTCAAACAAATACAAATTCTGATATTATAAGTGTTCACGTTTTACATATACGACTTTTCCGTAAAACCTTTAAAAAAATAGTATTCTTGTTGCTTCGTTCTTTGCTAACTCCCTTTTAGATCCTTTCAGTCCCCTCCCCCTCCCTCCCCCCCCCTGCTTCTTTTCTTTTAATTCACGTTTACACCACTCGGCTCTCCTCTCCTTTCACTCGCTTGATATTCTCTATTCTGCTTTCCTTACTTCTGATCTCTTTTCCTCTACTTCTCATTTCCACAAATTCCCTCTTGCTCTCTCTTTCCTCTACTCTCCTTATTATCTTCCTGTTATCTTCCTGTTACATCGACTCTTCTTTTCCCATTAACTCTTTTCTCTTGAAGTCTGTTCTACTCAGTTTTCCTCTCCTCTCCTCTCCTCTCTTAACCTATCATCTCCTTTCCTCTCTTCCCCCATCTATTCTACTTTGCTCTCTTCTCCTACACTCCACCTGGCTGTATTCTATGCCCTCTTAAAAGTTGGGGGATAGTCGGATCCTAAGAAAGTAATGACCGCAGCCATAGAGCTCCCAGGTTCAGGTAGAGGTGTGAACGTGATGACAGTTAAAGGAGTATTTGCATAGGATTCCTCCACAAACTCCAAAGGGTGTTCAAAATGTTGATAGAACTCGCCAGGTTTACCTGCAAATAAAGACAAATGCAATATTTTTAGGCAGAATTCTTTTAGAAACAATCGGCAGGATTGTTATCTGTTTTTTTTCCTCTGTTGCATTTCTGTTATCAACTGCACTATGTTGAATAAATTTCACAGATATGAAAAAGCCAAGGTAGAATATAATATTCAAAGATTTTTTTTAAAGCAACATTCTTCTGTAAAGTAAAAACTGTTGCTTCAGGCTACATTTCTCCACAATGAAACTCAGCAGGGCAATTTTTAGACAAATTTAAATAATTGAAACCAAACAGATTCAACCCATTAGATCTATATTGATATAATGTGAATGTCCCCCATCCATGAAGTGTTCTTGGTTTTATGAAGTTGACATGTCCTTTGGCTAATAGAAATTTAGATGGTTTGAAGGATTGATATTAACAAGACCGCTGTGCAAATATTATTGTACATCTTTTACCAACAGCTTCTTATTATCGACAGTAGTAGCACTCCACATTATTGATATATGCAGATAATTTACCTGTTGGGGTTAGCTCTCCTTTCTGTAAAGTCCCGTAGTGGTAGCGAAGTTTGTCCCCTTCCATCTTGATGTAAAAATCTCCAAATGCTGGGTGAGAGTAGGTGCCCTCGTAAGTGCTCAGTGTGGACTGTGCTCCAGTTGACGCTTGCCCGAGACAATTCACGACACTTGCAGTGTCTCTTCTGGAGTCAACCCGACCTTGCCCAAGCTTCGTTTTCAAACTTCTCTTTTTTCTCCCAATTATAGGGTTGGATGCTGTTGTCGGGAGTGGGGTTGTTGTTTTCGGAGAGACATTTTCTGCTGGAGCAGGTCCTAATGGAACCACGAATGTGCAGACGTTGGAGGTATTAAGCCAAGGCTCATTCTCTGCAAATGCAATAACATACTATATAAAAATCACGATACGAATTTGTTTGTCAAGCAATATGATGTTAACTTGAAAGTTGTACACACACACGTATAT